GGTGTACGGCAGGAACTCTCACTGTAACTCCATCTGGGCCTTCTACAAGCACGTCAACCAGCTCAAGGACTGGAAACCGTTCCCGGGGAAGATCAGCCTCGCCGAGCTCTCGCTCGCTCTCGCGAGAATGAGGGGACAGGACTGCGCGCTGTTCGTCATCAGTAACCATAGTAACGCCCAGGACCTGGCAGACGAGGCCGCTCGGCTAATCAACCACTACGAGCTCGGACCGTTCACGGACATGAGGTTCGGCATGAACGAGAAACTCAAGCAGACTTTAGTGCCGACTAACAGCCGGGAAGTGCCGTCCATCCTCACTAAAACATGGTGACAACCTAAATAGCACCTTCCCATCCTCACTGAAAAATGGTGACTACTTATCTCACTAGGACATGGTGATGAAAATCTGTCAGCAAGCTGCATTAAGTAACATTTGGGGCCATTAGGACGATAGAAAAAGTCAATTTTCTGGTCTATATACTTTACAAAGTAAGTTGAATCAACCCTACACGCTTTACGGATACTTAAAATCAAGATTTTAACTCCATGCCGTAGTATACGTATACGCCGAAGAACTTAGCCTGGTTACCAAACCTATTATAGCTCCTGAGTCCTACAGCCTCTCCTGCGGACTCGGGAGCTATAATAGGTTTGTTAACCAGGCTACGAAGAACCACCATAACGGCACAAACCGTTGAGCAGATGAGCTACTACCAAATAGACATTCATGTAATCGGAAGACATAACAACCTCTCTCCCTTGAAACAATGGATTGGTCGATATACCGTCATTTCAATGGAATAGAAGATGAACAACATTTTGCAGTACAGTGCAGTTTGTACAACACTGACTGACTGAGAGAGATGAATGTATAGACTGATATTAAACGGCAATGTTCTCCTAGTTCACACACCTAGGTAATACATGTCCAAACAGCATACTACATTGTATTAGACAAACCTCTGATCCTGAAACATGTCTGTTCAGATTTACTTCATAGACTAGTGCTACCTTGATCATGTGTATGTATACATGTATATACAAGCTATCCCTTTGTTGTGACCTGTAGTTAACCCATGTATATATGTATGTAACGTTATGTATGTATGTATGTATGTATGTATGTATGTATGTATGTATGTATGTATGTATGTATGTATGTATGTATGTATGTATGTATGTATGTATGTATGTATGTATGTACAATCAAGGAGCTTCTATAGAAGCTACAATAAAGGTCTTCTGAAGTTGAGTTGGGGCACGTGTTCAGTACAATGGGCCTAGGCTAATGGTACCGACGCGCGTTGGAACTGATCGAGAACCGCCGGTTGTCAGAAGAACATTCTTCACACTTCCTTGCGTTGTAAATGATTGTGCAAAGCTACTAAAGTGTGGTGAGAAGAGTGTTGAACAAAAGGTACACGAGATGTCACTGATTGCCAACCGTGCCGTGCGTGTATTCTTCTGGCTCACACGCACATCATTATTTTGCTGCATCTCGGTACGACCTGGATCATTAGCTTTCAATGGTCCCGCACGGGGGCCGCGGGTAACTTGTACTGACTACTAGTTAGTATCACTTGTTGTTGATACATGTATATCATATAGAAATGAGAGAGATACTGCCTCTATACATGTATGCAAGTTTCCGAACTTTAGACATTTAGATTAAGCAGAAAAATTAGTACTAGTGTTCCTTATGAAACTAGACACAATAGTTCCATGCAATGTATGTTCATACATACAACACTGTCTTAGAAGCGTGAAGAAGTAAAACCTGTAAATAGAAGTTTACATCGATATCAGTATGTATGTTTTTTTAGTACGATACATGTACTTTTTTTACATCTGCTTTATACGCGTCCTGTACGTAGCTCGTATTAAACAGCATAAAGGTACAATATAGGTCTTTAAATTTCATTCTTCCTTCATATTAAAAATCATCGTATTGTCTGCAGGGCTCGAATCGCGAAATACTGGGTGCAGGGGCTCTGTATTTCTGATATCTATATCTGCATCTAGCCTGCAGTGGTCCATGTACAGGGTTTATACACAAATGTAGGTATATGTGCATGAAGTTAGTTGGGTACTAGCAATACAACATGGCATAAGGCATAGAAAACTAAGGCATATTAGGTCTGGTCATAGTAAGTAGTAAGACATCTCCCAATCACGTGACCACTCCAGCTATTAAAATTGTAGTGAACAGTTGGTGATTTTTTGTATCGGTTTGTCCAATATTTTGTCATTTTCTATTTCAAGAAATGAGCTGAGAATGATCTATAGGAATTTTAGAAAAGATCTAGCCATCTTGTGTACCCCCCTTCTCTGAAGTTGCCCCGTCACTTCGCTGGGTCGTCTGCAGGTATAACTAAGATCGCCAGAGGTCCCCATTGTGCTATGAATTAAATACCATTCCAATGTTTGGTAATCAGGATGACCGTACACCATTGCTACGCATTCGTGCAGCACAGATATTACATCATAATATGACAATCATAGTCACCTAACTTAAAACATAGCTGATTTTTCAGTCCAGAAAAAAAGAAAATGTCGCCTGGTCAGCTGACTACCTCGATCCGGGGACTTTCCTCAGGTCACGTGACATATACTGGGTAGCCATCTTGAACTTTTTGTTCTCGTGTAGAGCGATAACAAGCGTCTTGCAGCAAAAACAGGTACAGACAGCTATTTTTCTCCAAATGTACGACACAAAGGCGATGTATTTGTATCTAAGGATATTTTTGTACCCCGCCAGTTAGGTATCATGGCAGAAATATGGGTAGTTTTCCCGCGAGAGGCCATGCTTGTGGGGGTTGCTTGCTCAGCTGAAACTCAGCAAAACTTGATGCCTTGCGCCAACAGATGAAATATTTTGGATTTCGCTCTTCTTCAAAAATCCAAACTTCGGATCTCTGTGAATCGTGACCAGACAGAGTCCTAGAGTGACCATGATTTATAGACACTTTATTCTAGGCTGTGACAAATTATCATGAAACGTCTGGGTCAGGTACGCGACTGTCCCAGTTTTCGATGGTAGAAGATGACCGATCATGGGAGGGTGGGCAGGGCATGGATCCTCCCAGAAATTATGTAACTTCCACCAACTATTTGAGCTCTATTCTGTGATACATGGCACATATGACACCATGCCTTCCTATCTGAGACCTAGTTTTGTACAGCCAGATGTTGTAGATACCCGGAAAAGGGTTCTAAGTACAGAAATCCGGATAAGGGGCGTCTGCATTCAGGTGAAAAGCATCAACAACGTGAACTGTTTTCGCGTGTGGTGAGCGTCAAATATGATAAGTTTTCCTCACACAAATGTTTTAAAATTCCACGTAGATTGCCTCTAATATGCTAAGTATCTATATTGTTTCATTTTTTAATCATTTTCACTCCTCTTATTGGCATGTCAAGTTTAAGATGGTAGAACAGGTAATATCACTCACGACCAAATCCGCAAGTTTTAATTTTTTTGTGACAACACCTGTCCTATGTGTGCTTTAACCCTAAGAATGCATGCAGGTATGATAGTCCTAATGTTGGATGTTAAGCAAATGCATAGAAGGGGAATATTGAAAACAACATGTCACTTACTACAATGCTCCAGGATGTACAGGTATGCAGATGACAACAAACAATTCACAAGTTGACACTATAATGGTCCTCATGAATCACAATGGCCAGCACTGGAATTTGTAGAGAACTTGACAATATTGTGTCATTTGTGTGAACTGTTAGTATACAAATGATAAAATCCAACCATTGTTTTTCATGGATTAGAATTAGAATGAGTTGATGCACCTAGGTTTACCTGGACTACTTTCACCTCTAAATATAAAGTACAGGTGAGCTGAAATAATGCAAAAACCTTTCTGAACTGTATAGGAATCTTTGTCCAACAGGCAACAGCATTAGGTGATTTTTTTTTAGCAAGCCATGTACATAGTTCACTGTAGAAGTTTTAGCTAAACCTGTTGTTTCAGTTCGACATCGAATCCTCTACAAATTAGTACAATGCAACACAGTAAGATTTTTTTTTACGGATGAGAGATTTTGTTTGCCGATAAACTGTATTTGTTGAAAAGTTTGAATCACTACATAATTGTAAAAATACTGTTGTTTTGTATCCAAAGCTCATGTAAACATGATGTGGTATTATTGTTTGTGCAATATGTGCACTCACATTTTGCAAGTGCAAAATATAGATGTTTTGCTAAAAGCCATTTCCCAATTTTGATATTGATAACCTGGACCTGCCTTTAAAGATATGCCCAAGCATGTACATTATACGAAGAGAGGTTTTAGTATCAATTAAGATTGTTTCAAAAGATAGTGATCTAAGTAAACATAGGTTTCTTTCTGGGCAAAAGTTAGCAAAAGAGTGAACATGAAAGGTTGATTGATTGATAGATAGATAAATGCCAGTGTGGTACACACAGTTTTGCAAACAAGTGGAAAACTGCTGTCATCAGCAACAAGACCTTTGACAGGTTGGAGTGCCCTTTGTTACCGCAGCTATTCGTTAACCATTAATCCTATTAAAAGTACATGCCTCAGCAACATTGTAAATCTGTCCCGATGCTAGTGTGTTTGACTTCAGCCAAACGTGACAATATATGTAGTAACTGAAACATGTTTGATTTTGCTGTGGTTTGGACCTGTAGTCTAGGGTATGGTTGTCAGTTCTAATAGCTGAAGACAGAGAAGGAGTACTAGTAAAGTCCTTTTATAGCTGACAAAACCACCAAATTACTTAATTAGCCCTTTGCTTACTGTATCTTTCAAGTAAGGATAATGGTTATTTGATGGTGCCAACCTTTACACGTTCATTTCTCGTGTAAAATACTTGTAGGTGTTCATGTATGCATATAGATAGCCACATGAAATTATACCAACATAGAAATCTAAAACAACTTTTGCCCAAGTTTTAACCGCGTGTTACATGGGTTTTACACAACTTTCGATCGCGATTTTAAGACCATTTATACAACATTTGCACAAGGAACGAACAACTTAAAACCATGTTTGAAACGTGGGAACTTTAGTTAGTCGAGATCTGTACTGTACATGTACAAGTACAAGGCATAGACTGAAGTGCTGGATGTACACACTTTTGATAATGATGATAATAGAACTTAGAAGAAGTAGAAATGTACGGAAATCTGACACGAACAACATACAACAACTGTACCTACAAAGTAGTAGATGCAATGAAAATTGAAATGTACATACAAGTATATAGATAAATTCACATGAGTTTAGCATATCATTTACAGTGTTACACTCCTACTTCTAAGGTTTGAACATTCTTTGATGTACACAGTAAGGGTTATCTCCTAGGATGTCATCAATGTATAGGAAGGCAGGGTTCTCACCAGGATTTTTTCACAGCGTAGGGGTCAGGTATAGAAGGGCAACTTTCTGTGGCGCGAGTCACGCACCGAGTCCCAAAAACATGGGCCTGATATTCTCCCCAAAAAATTTTGTAACTCATATTAACCACTTAAGACACTATTTATTGTTTATTGGGGGACAGATTTTGTTTTCCCTCTGTTATAGCTTCATTCTTAAGTTATATTTTCATTTTTTTTTTAAGATTAATGAAGCTTCTGCGCCCAAAAACCACCCCTACACTGGTTGAAACACAGTGTAGGGGGCTAAATCAAAGCGTAGGGGGTCAAAATCACAGCGTAGGGGGCCCCTACGCTCAAACAGCCTGGTGAGAACTATGAAAGCAAAGATTGTTGTGGATTGGTCATCTAACAGTTTAGAGAGAAAAGAATAACTTATCAAAACAATCAACAGCTGCTGCTAGATGTAAAATTTTTAACTAAAAACACATTCACTGAGATTCAGTACAAAACTTTGAGAGAAATCAGTGACATGGAATTGTATTTTGAGAAAAAGTTCTGTACATTATATAGTCTATATACCTTGATACCGTCTTCGGTATAAATAAACATGATATATATGCATAAAAGTTTTTTGTGTGGAAACAGGATTCTCCAATTTCTAATTGGGTAAGTCCTATTTCCTTCCATGCTGGATATATTTCCATAGTGTATAATCTACTTTAGACAAGAAAGCTAAAAATTGGGGGTGTACCACTACACTATACTACAGTAAACTACACTATACAACAAACAAATGCACTTAGACTGCTTGGAATGTAACAATACCTCTTTCGGAGTCTTTCATATATCTTTCATTTGCTCAAAGCAAATTGCAGGTATGAATCATACTGAATGTCAGAAAATTTCTGTTCAAACAGTAGAAAATAGTTAATACTGACATCATTTTGGTATAACAAGGTACATAACACAACAACAATTCAATAAAACTATTAAAGAAATTAACTTTTCAAAGACCTACTAGTACTAGTACAAGTAACTGAGATAATTACTAAAAGACCACCAACACTGCTACTGACACATTTGGAGCCCTATTTTGAACACCTCATTATAATTTCTCTAAATAACAATAACAGCCCCAGAGTTGGCAGATGGCCTATAACTCAAATTGCCTCATCAGGTTCTATTATCTGTCAAAATCCCAGCGTGAATGGTTAATTTGCATAATCCAGTGATCCCCTTGTTGTGGATTACAGATTAACCATGGACAACAACAGACCACAACCAAGAAACTGTCACAAATTGTCATCAAACAATTCCCAGGGGATAAAACCATGAAAAGACTTGTGTGGGAGGTTAAAAATCAAACTTGTAATGTAGTTGTATAAAACCTCCTTGATCCAACCTGCATATGTATGTAAGTATATGCGCTCTCACGGTTTTAATTTAGTTATATTTGGCATAAAACTATGATAGGTTGACGGAATCACACAGACCACAACACGAGAAAACTGTCACAAATTGTCATCAAACAACTCCTGTGGGACAAAACCACAAAAAGACTTGCGGGAGAAACTACCGAACCTGTATACATGTATGTATGTATACCTATGCGGTCCTGATCAAATGATATTTTGGGTAAAACATAGGTTAAGTTGATGTTTTGGGTTGAAACCACACAGACCACAACTGGAGAAACTGTCACAAATCGTCTACTAAAATTCCTGAGGGAGCAAACCACAAAAAGACTTGCATGGGAAACTAGCAAACTTAAATATGCATGTATATACCGCACTCCCACGGTCCAAATCAAGTTATATTTTGGGTAAAACTCAGATTGAGTTGACGTTTTGAGGTCGAAATCACCCTGTGTAGATCCGGCTCGGGGTTTAGAAGCCGTGCAGGCATGTTAGCCTCTGTAGCAGGCTTATAGAACTGGGGGTTTGGTGGTCTTCGGCTGTTTTCTGATTAGCCCAGTTCTGAAAAAACGGGGGTAATTCAACCAGGCCGCCTATGTTGTCTATATGCAATCAGAAAATAGCACATAAAAGCTCCCAAAGACCCCCAAAACCCCGAGTTTTTGGCAAGCCATGGAGGCTACAGGCATGTTACTGTGGGCGGTTTGCGGAGGTATAGAGTATCCAGTAGACAAAGACCAGGCGGCGCTACTCTGTGTTCAACACGAGAAGGGTGAGCTAATTACTAAAACTTGACTCCATGTTTTGGATGTCAGAATTCACGGTAGCAACCGTGAAAAAACGCCTGGTAGCAGCTACAGGGTTTCAAGATTTGAATTTGGGGAGGAAAAACGCGGGATGTTTTTCACAAGTGTGGGCAAACGTGGACACAAAAAGGCGGCAGTAAAAAACACACACCACTGTAAACACAGGTCACAAAGGGATCGACCCACTGAAACGATCTCTGGGCAAACAGATGCGTTCCTAGATCTAAACCAGCTGGGTTACACTCTTCAAACTGTTAGGGATAGCCATGGATATTCTAGAGAAACTATAACCATTGCATTTTGCAGAAAATAGTTGACAAACTGGGCGTAAAAAACTAAGAAACGATCGATTAAACTCCCCAAAGTCTTGCTCCCGACAAAATTTATTTAGAAGAAAGAAAGAGGCTAAAACTTTGCCAATTTGGACGGGGTAAAATTATTCAAAACTACGTAAGCATTTCTGTGCTATGTTAAACGTTACAGGAAGTGTGCATATGTGCCGTTTGCAGGTTTAAATGTTCCGATTATCCAAGGTGTTGACACAAGTCATAAACCAGCCCAGATCCCTCAACGATTTTTCAAAAGAATCAAAGAAAGACCGACCCGAAAACTCGACTTGCAAGCGAGAGAGAGAACTCTACCCAAAACTTACCGATTTTTCCGTGTTTCCCAGGGAAAATACCGCTTGAAAATCCTACATGGGGTCTTCTAACATTGTTCTTCCCCGCTTTAGTGGTGAAAGAAGCCCCGGTATTGTCCCGAGCGGGAGTTCTTGTGTGCAGAACCGTGCCGTGGACAGAAGTCAGGCCGTGAAGTCACCACGGCTAATTACAGGTTTGCGATAGCAAATTACAGGTTTGCGATAGCAAAACCTGTTCTATTTTACCTGGATTTTATGGGCGCCGCCATTTTTATTCCCGTCATGCAATGGGGCAGGTCAAAGTTGAGTGAGGTGCATTGTGGGACCTGTCACAGGCCTACAGTGTAAGGACGACACCTAGCGGTATGTTTGGAAAGAGCAGTAACTGAAAGCCTACCTGGTTGTGTGTTCATTTTGGCAGAAGTGTATAGAGGCGATGGCTTTGACGTAATAAAGGCGAGTCTGATTGTGTTTAGCACTTGACGTAATTTTCTTAGCATGACGGGAAGGAAACTTGGCGGACCTAATGCGGCGGAAC